CTCTGCTGACTTCTCACGGAGCAGAGCACAGAGGTTCTGGAAGTTTCTCTGTCTGAGTGGGTGAGGCCAATCTACGCTTGACCCCTCTGAGCCCCTCGACTCCAGACAATAGGTCTTCTATGCTGTTTGCTCAGTGACACCTGCGAGAGCGCGGCGCTTATTGTTAGGCTCCGTCCTTGGCAGCTTGTCTATTGAGCTTGGCTTCTGCTGACTAAAGGAAGGGAAGCTGACCTAGTTGAGGTGAGCAGCTTGAAAGAAAAGTCCTAGTGTTGACATATGGCCTGAGGGCTCCATGTGAACCTGTCAAAATAAATACATGTGCATTAATCATCCCAAATCAAAACAAGTCCCAGCATTGAGCACGGTGCATGGCACTCTGCACTGGCACTTGGCAAGTGTCTGCTAAGTGAAAATATGGATGGTGGATGAAGGAGGGCGCTACATGATCCTTGCCATTTTTTTTTACCCTGAACCTTGCATGCTCTGTGCCCCGAACCAGGTCTTCCTGTTGCTAGGAATCCTTCAGAAGGAGACAGGGGGCTCTGCAAGGGTCATTCGTAAGTTTAAGCACACATCTGTGTTTCAACGCTTGTGCAGTCAAAGACAAAAATACATGGCTCTAACAAGTGTCTGGAAGTTTATAACAAGAACAACACTGACTTTCCAATCACAAATCAAGTGTGAGCTTATAATGAAAATACTTTCAGACAGGCATGGACTCAGAAAAGCTCACTTCCTACGCAGGTCTTCTTGGGAAGATTACAAGTTGGTGCATTTCACTAAGAAAGGTGGCGAGGGGAGTCATTAAAGCCCTGAAACCCAGGATCCAGAGATCCAGCTGACAGGGGCTCAGGGCATCTTACAGGATGATGACAACATCAAGGTCAGAATAACCTCAGCACGGCAGGCTTCCAGAGCAACCAGCCTACACTATAGGAAGAAGGCCAACAGCCTTGAAGAGTAGTAGAGCTTCTGAGGGTTCCTTGATCACACGCTGCAAGTTCTATAAACTTGTGTGAGAAAATTGAGGAATGAATTAATATTAGCTACACAAAACTAAGCAGTTGGTAAAAAATAAGCCAGCTGGTAACGGTGGGAAAAAAAACCATACAATGAAGGAAATGTAAAGATGGTGCATAATTTGGTTCAGCGGAGAACACTATTTACATATGTATTACCATGTAGGCAGTGAAAATGAATAATGAAAGCTGGTCTGTTTCCATGTGAGTGAATATGGGAGGGACAGTGTGTGCTTTGAAGGATACAGAAAGAGGCAAAGAAAGGCAATGTACGTGGCTAGCTCCTTATCCTCCACTACAGAAAGTCAAGGAAAGCATCTGAGATCGAAACACCAGATGGGACAGCACAATCACGTCCTTTAAATGTGGCAAGGCTGTTTCCAAAAACATAGCTTAAAAGTTGCTCTTAGAGATACCACATTAAAAGCAGAAAAGAGCAGAGTAAAGACGTAATTTTTCATGATGAATTTTACGTATTGTTGCTTTCTGCTAGTCTGCTGAAAGGAACAGTTACTGCATACATTTTCTTTTATTTCTTCTTTTTAATTTTTTTAACCAATTTTACACACTTATGTCTGGTAACCTGAACAACTAACTTGAAGACAACAATATGTAATATGACCACCATTGCTGAATTCCTATCATTTTATTTAGCGAAATGTTGTATCACTTCTAATATATTTTTTACTTTTTTTAAAATTTTATTTTATTTTTGTATTTTAGGGAAGGGTCTTCAGGGTGTTCAGGGTCTCACTATTAGATTAGACTCCTGGTGATCTGCCTGTTTACAGCCTCCCAAGAGCTGGGATTACGGGTGTGCGCCACCACGTCTAGTCTCAATTGCCATCTCAGCACGCCCACAGGGGCGGGGCCAGCACTGCAGGCCTGGGGACCTAACCCCCAGCCCCTGCGCCTGCTTGCAGGCTGTTTAGTCTGCTGAGATATTTGGCTGGCCCTTTTTTTACTATTTTATACTCTCTAAAAATAAAACTACTCACATATATTTTTAATTAAATTAATAAGACGTTAAATAAAAGTTCTAGTGAGAAACTGATACCAACTTCTTGAATTCAGTGTTTATTTGCTTTTTAAAAGGTAACATCCCCTACATTTGCTGCTGAGGCAGTCACAAGGAGAAAAGGGGGAGACTCAAAAAGGGGGATCTTGCATACTTTGGTTTTGTGCTGAGGTTCCTGGTGAAATTTCATTAGAATAAAAGGGCCAACTGCATAAAAGCTTGAAAGCACAGGCTAGAACATCCTTTCCAGGGACTGGCTGGATTTCTCCCAGGAGCCTAGGAGGTCAGTGCATCAGCCTGTGGCTTCCCATAGGGTACAAGGCGTCACCCCTGCAGGAGAAGGGGTCCCCCCTCTTCACTAAGGCCTCCAGCTCTTTTCTCTAGGAGGGAAAAGGGATTCATGGCACTATGTCCATGTCTTTTCCTTTGTTCCCTTCTGAGACTGAAGATCTGTGTCTATAACTTTCACAATGTGGGGGTGTTCTATGAAGCTAGGGAAGAGAGCAAGCTAACAGGTGAACTGTGACCCTGAGCCCACAGTCTTAGCCTCGGTGACCCCCCCCCACTCTGCCCAACTGGATCAGCCACTGGGGCCGCAGGTCGCAGAGCATGCCTGCTCTACAGCACATCCCTTAGCACTCAAGGTGAGCAACCAGCAAGCCCTGTGTGTGGCCAGCCACCACTCTTAGCATGTCACATGGATTAGCTCCTTTAATCATCGCAGTGTTAAAGGTAGCTACTGTTGCTCACCACAGTTAGCAGATGAGGAACCTGAGGTGCTGAGATGCTAAGTAGCAGGCCCAGAGTCTGGGGCAAGCAAGAGGCAGGGCCAGGATCCAGCCAGAGCTCAGTGACCCTCAACAGTTTCCCCTTCCTGCCCCATCACCCACACTGAATACCCTTTTCCTTCAGCAAGCCCTGAAGTCCTCTCATGGGGATACCCTTTGAGCTTTTCAATGCCTTTTTCCTTATTTAGCTGTTTGGTTTGTTCTCGGTTAAGTTAGAACTTCAGCAAACATCAGATTCACTGAAAACCTAAGCCAAGAGCAAGAAATCCTTCACAGACAAAACATCTGGCACCAGCGAGCCAACCACTTGAAATCAGCAGCAGTGATCAGATCCTCGTGTGGTAATGTTTGAAGTCTCACAAATGAAGCAGCTGATACCTGGTGAAACTGCTCGCTCGGTGACCCTTGTGTGGAGCTGGGTGGAGGGGGAGACTGAGGGCTGCTGGGAGAATGTGTGGAGCCTGTGGCCCTTCGTGCACAGCAAAGACCAGGGACTGACCAGTCATAGGCACCCCTGGCGCAGATCCACCCAGCCTCTTCGAGAAACCATCTGACCACGTTAACTGAAAATAACCACATTCTTCCCAAGTGCGTTTCTTTCCCACATCTCAGTTTAAAGGAAAAGAGCAAATGGCAAAAGCTCTTATTCCTGGCTGAATGTATGTATTTATTTTATTTTGCTAATTTGTTTATTGGATGCCTCCTTCCTTGTCATGGAAGCAGGACCTATGTCTTGTGTGAATCTCCTTACCGTGAGGACCTAGTGCTGCGCTGGTACATGAGACCCTCAGGAAATATTCTTCAGTGAATGAATGAATGAATGAATGAATGATATGCGCAGATGAGGCAGGTGGGAAGCAGGCTTGAACCTGTGTCGTGGGAGGGAGAACATGGGCCTTCTGACTGCGGACTTGTCTTTCTCGCTGACCTTTGCCAAGCTGTCTCCTTTCCCAGTTGCCTTCGTCCTTTCCCGGCACTGCACTTTCTTTCCAGGCTCAGGGAGACAGAGAGAAGCTTTCCTATTCTTTGGGGGTATTGAAGCTAGGATTTTGTCAAGGCAGAGGGGAGGCTGAGCCCCCTTAACCTACTGTTGGGGATCCCTCGCGAGGGGCAGCCTCCTGGGGTCTCATCCCGGGCTAGCCTGGCCTGCACATGCACGCCTGGCTCTCTCATCAACGCCTTCTTTCTCATGCTGCCCTCCTTGCAGCTTCCCGGCTTACAAGGAGCAGAGCCAAGTACACCTTGAATGAGGGACACAAACTGGCTCAACTCTATCCATGTCCTTTCCTGTCCTCAAATCCTGTCCCCCCCTAGGAAAATAGGATGAGCATGGCCGGACTTACAGAGACCAAGACTCACGGAGAGGAGTCAGCTCAGCCTCGGGGGGCCTTTCAGCTCCATCCTTTTCCATCTCTCTCCTCCAGCTCCACCCCAGTGTGGGGCAGCCCTGGACTAATGGGTCACCAGACTGGGCAAACCTGCACAGTTGGAAGCCGAAGGAAGCACTTGATGACAAGAGGGTGGAGAGGTGCGCAAGGGGAGGAGGAGTGGGGGTTTTGGAGGGGGAGCTGGGGAGAGTAGGGAGGGCGGGGAGAGGCACTGGGGTGACTTATTTTCAAACAGAGATGGATTTTAGATTTCAGCTGTGATGTATTTATCATAGTGAAATCTAACGAGGTTGATGGGAGTGAGGCCCTGTATGCATTGTTATGCTATTTGGTTTTGATAAAAAGTGGCATTGTACAAGATGTTCCCTGGCCACGTAAAAGCTCGCTGCAGAGCTCGTGGTGGCATGGGGCCATACCACAAGTTGTGCAATGCCGTGGCAGCGAAACAGAATTTCTTCTCAAGGATTAAGGCTGGTATTTCAATTTAAACTTTAAGAAAGAGATTGAAGGAGCAAAGAAAGAAAAAGAGAGGGGAGCAAAGAGAAAAAAATAGGAAGGAAAGAAGAAAGGTAAGTAGGAAGAAAAAACTTGAAGAGTGAAAGAACAAAGGCAAAAGAAAGACAATCATGCCATTTAGTGGGGGAAAATCTGTGCAGGATAGGAACAGGCTGTTGGCCCTGACAAGAGGTATTTCTTTGCTTTTTTGCTACTATTTTTCCTTTCTACCTTTAATACAAAGTTTGCTGCATCCATAAGCACTGTCTTTTCTCTCTTTCTTCTTAAGATCAGGGGCTGGAATGTCTGAGCTGCTTCTTTCAATTTTATAGTTGTCACAATGATTTAGAAAGGTTCTTTCATTAGAGGCAAGGCATAGAATTTTCTCTCCCCACCTAAATCTAAGCCTGGAGCATTCTCTCTCTCTCTCTCTCTCTCTCTCTCTCTCTCTCTCTCTCACTGTCTCTCTCTGTCTCTCAGTGTGGGTGTGGCTGTATGGCCTCCAAGCAATATGAGAAGACATGAAGACCACTCTCTTTTCATTGATTTCCTTCCTTTTTGGCTCCTTAGAAATGAAACACTAAGACCTACCCAAGGCTTGCAGAAAAGAGACCTCAGGCAAGGTGCTGTAGTGGCAGGCATATGATCTTGGAATCAGTCCCAAAGTCATGAATGTCACCTGGAGTTTTGAGACAATGAGGAGGTGGGTTTTGAGAAGGTAAGCACCTCGTGTATTTTAGGCAGCTTAACTCTCATTTGTTGACAACTCATCATATCCTACTAGGAAACTTCGGCTCATTTCTTAACTTTGTGCCTGACACACGAACTTGTGGATAGCAAACATTTGGCTATCCACATGTCTGAGAAAAACTCAAGCATGGCACTGGAATCGAAACAAAAGCCTTATGCCTCATGCTGTCCCTAAGGACTATGACTTGGCCTGGCTGGATGAGTCCTCAGAAAACTCTGGAGAACAATGGCCACACCCAACACAGGTGACAGAGACATAACCTGCCATAACTATGAATGGGTGGTAGTTCAGTGGGACGTGGGGATCTGTTCTCTTGCTGCCAAGTGTCCACACGGATGTCCTCTCTTCCTGAGCAGCTCAGTGTTTCATTGAAGGGTTCCTGTCAAGGACTTCTGGCCTGTCTCTCTGGTTCCTCCACCTTGTATCTCTCACCTTAGTTCTCTTTCCAAGCACACGGAGCTGTGGCACATGCCTAGGCTCTGGGCGCTCTCTCTTAATAAAGTTCTCTTTTAAAAAAGATAATATATTTTTATTTTTAATTAACACATACTAATAGTACATTTTGGCGGTACAGTGTGACTTTCTATATGTAGAAAGTGTATCTGATCAGGATAACTGGCGTAGCCTTCACCTCAAGCTGTCATCATTTCTTTGCACTAGGATCATTTAAATCCCTCCTCTACTATTTTAAATTATATAATTGGTTGTCATCAACCATGGTTGGGATCTGCAAACCCAGAAGCTATCCCTGCTATCCAACTGTCCCCAATAAATGTTCCCTTTCTCACCACCCCCACCTGCTTGTCTTCCATGACTTCTGCCTAGACTCAGCTCCTCTGTGCAGCCTCTCCTGACCCCTCCCAGGAAGCACCCCTCTTAGCCACCTTGGCCCCTAACATGTTCTGGGCTCACTCCTGTCCTAGCCTCTATTCTCTTTCATTCAAATGCCTAGGAACCTTTTGGCTTAAGGAAAATGTCATTAATTTTTTTGTGTCCCTGGTGTCCCGTACTGTGCCTAGCACATAGAAGCAGTCAGAAGCTGGCTCATTGAATGGATGAATGAATGATGTGAATATTAGGAGTAAAGAAATTTTGAGAAAAAAAATCTACCTAGCTACCTAAAAACGTTAAGAGATAGATTTTCTTCTTTTCTTTTTTTTTGGTGGAACAGGGGATTGAACTCAGGCCCTTGAGCTTGCCAGGGAAGTACTTATTCCACTGAGCCGTCTCCCCAGCCCCAAGAGGTAGATTTTCATAGCCTGAGGTATTCATTGCATGGTCATATTGGATGCCTCTGCTACCTTTGTTACATTGGGAGCATCTTAAAGCAGTGTTCTCATGAATCACTGGCACCTCGCTAGGCACTGTACCAGTACCTGGCATGAGACTCTAAATAGGCAAGTTTGAGGCCAATTTTGCTTCCTGAACAAATGGAACAAGAGTGAGTTTTTTAAGTTATCCATTACAATCATAGGAGGGATATAAGGAGGGAAGAAAAAATAAATCCAGTACTGGCCAGAAACTATTAGGTGCTTACCGATATCATCATCATCATCATCATCATCATCATCATCATCATCATCATCATCACAAACAGCTGTGGAAGTATTATTATTCCATTTTACAAGGAGAAAATTCTGGCCCACAGAAGTTTTACAGCTGAAGAAGAGTGAAGGCTGAATGCAAGCACACCTATCTGTCCATTGCAGGGGCTGTACAATTCTAGAAGTCGGATTGCTATGTTTTCTAGGTGCTCTAGTCCTTCTCTTGGAATTTATAGATGCAGAAATGAAAGCATTGTCCTGGAACATTTGGCAACTGGTAGAAACTTGGGATTCAACCTTAAGCCCTTGAACCCCTTTCTTTGCCTGGAAGAGTCAGGGAAGTCAATTAGTTAAGCGTGTGAAGACGTGATCCCAACCCACTGGACCACAGGCTCTGGGGTGAAAGCCTGCATCTTGAGAAAGAAGCAGCTTCTGAAACTCCCCAGCTTTGCAACTTTGGACTTACTCTGGGGGTGGGGAGACAAAGAGAAACCTCCACCCTTTCTGGGTCCATGTATTGCTTTAAATAAACATGCACCCATGGCAGGAGAGTGCTACAGATCATGTTACCATCTTAATTCATTCCTTTTCGCATTTTTCACACTGGTGATATTTGCTGGGTTTTAGTGGTGCATTAGAAGATCACACATTTATTCAGCTGCACTTAGGATTTCCTTCACTGGCTTTAGCTGGGTGATGAATTCAGGAGATTTGGAGGAAATACTCCTTCATTTTCGTGCAGCCTTCTGAAAATTCTTGTTGGCTTTCAGAGATGCATGTGACAGCAAATTCCTAGCACGGGCTCACTCTCCTCTAGGTGCTGCAGAAGCTACTGCATGGACGAGATTTTATTTAATGGCGGAAAGAGCCCATGAGCTATTTGTTTTTCTTATGTCAGTTTCACTGAAGCATAATTTAAATTTAGTAAAATTCATACTATTTATTTATTTTTCAATCTTTCATGTGTGTATTTGGTACAGGGTCCACACTGCAGCTTGGACTCATAATGATCCTCCTGTCTCAGCCTCCCCAGCTCTAGGATTACAGGAGTATGCCACCAGACCTGGTTTTGGTGGCTGACTCGATGTGCCCAGATTCTGGGGCTGGAGTAGCATACAGTGCCAGGAATTGAACCTGGGACTGTGTGCTCCCTAGGCAGGCACTTAGACTGCTAAGCTATCTCTCCAGCCAAGTCAAACTTTTTAGTTGTACAAGATGATGAGTTTTAGCAAATAGTATAGTCATGTGACCACACCACAAGCAAAATATGGGATATTTCCACAATTCCAGAAAACACTTTATGCCCCCCATATAGTCAGTCAGTCCTGATCCACGACACTCACACTGCCACTTGCTTGTTCCATTTTTTCTTCTCAGAATGTCTTAAACATACAATCTGTAGCCATTTGTCCTTGCTTCTTTCACCTAGCATAATGCACATTGTGAAGAACTGACTCGTTAATCCATAATTCTATGCGAGGAGCCTATGTCCCAGGCTGGCTCAGTGAGATGTTCAAGTGTGTGAGTAATAAAGCCAGAACTCCACCCCAGGCAGCCTATTGCTAGCACTTGAATGTGGATTCTGCTCCCTGCACCCCTGTGTCTGCAGCCAAGGACTCTGGCCCAGTGACTCACGTGAGCATCAAGGTGTTGAGGCAAAGCGTGAATGTTCTTTTTTTTGGGGGGGTGGGGGCACAACCAGGGATTGAACTCAGGCCCTCGCGCTTGCCAGTCAAGCATTTATTCTACTGAGCCATCTCCCCAGCCCCAATGTGAATGTTCTGCTGCTACTTCTTTCCTTTTCTTTTTTTATTTTTCTTCTTTTCTTTTCAAATTTTACCCAGAAATATTTCGGATACCATTACAGCTGAAAAACTTGGTCAAGAGGGCCAGTGAGATAGCTCAGCAGACTAAGTGCCTGCTTAGACAAGCGCAGGGACCGTGGTTCCATCCCCTGCATCATAGGCTGCACCAGCCCTGCCTGCTGCTGCATGCTGAGACAGCCACCAAGACCAGGCATGGTGGCACATGGTTGTAATTGCAGGGCTGGGGAAGCTGAAAACAGGAGGATCACTATGAGTCTGAGCTGCGTAGTGAGACCTTGTACTAAATACATAAAAAGAAAAAAAATGTGGTCAAGGAAATGATATCTGCTCTTTACAGAGGAATCTTTGCCTGCTGGCCTCTAAATTTTTGTTCTTGGATCTGGCTGCTACAACATAAGAATTGAGTGAATATTTACTGAATCCATGAATAAGATATTCATAGATTTACTGAATCCTAGTTCACCTACTTGCTAATCGGGCAGCCTTGAATCTAACGGCTCCAAGGCAGTGTTTAGGATTCAATGGAACAATACATGCGAGGCACATTACTGACGAGCTGGTGATGAATCCAGGAACATTGGCCTTATTAGTGTTTTGGTCCCATTTATCACTAAAATTAAACTGAAATTCAGATGATATCATAATCTGAAATGCAATCCAAGCTATGAGAGTTTAGGGCTTAATAATTTCACTGGGCAAACACTTACTATCCATTGGACTAGGTCTTATCCCTGGACAGACTCATCCTCAGGAGGGAGAGGTTTATGCTGCTATATTGAATTTTTCCTGACCATAAAAAGCCTCTAGATATATTTTGCTACATGTGTATTAATGATGAACATCACAGCTGCCAACATTTATGGAGGTGCTGACTGCTATGCAGAGAGCTTCTTATTCATAGATTAGTTTAATCCTCATAACCTTTTAAGGCTGCAGATCCCCTTTATCCAAGGGAGGGTCAGAGCATTGAGTGACCTTGCAGGTACATGAACTGGGATTTGGAACCAAAGCCAAGAATTTACAGCCTGGAACAAAGACCCTATGCTCGAGAGGTGGAGGAAACACACAAGCTCTGGGGGGTGTTGAGATCAACAGCATCAACTGACCTCACCTGCCTGATGGTCCTGCTGGTACGTGGAGCTGGGGTAACCGAATTTGAGAAGTTGAGCACAAGGAACTTCCTTTGGGTCAAGGGAGGCTGTGCGGAGGGAAGGTGCTCTTGTGGGAGCTGTGAGAGTGGGAGATGTGAAGTTTTGTTGAAGCCAGGGAACTTTCAGCACAGAAACTGCAGCCAAAGCTCATGGCTACATAAACATGATGGCCAGTAAGATGGTAACGACGAAGTGCTATTTTTCAAAAGGAATCATTCAGCATACTTTTACAGCAAGGAGGTCTCTCCTTTTCCCAAGGAAGAGCAAATGCTAACCCTCCGTTCTTTCAGAGGGCCCCTCATTCCCTCTGCACATGAAAATCTCTTCGTTTTATTCCCAGCCGATAACACCCTTCACGTCTCAGCAAGCTTTCACAGTGTAATAAGCCAAAGGAAACATTTCACAGCTGAGTTGCTAAGTAGTTAGGTCCATTCAACTGAGTAACAACTTAGCAGCTGCTGGAGAAAATGCTTCTCACACGTTGGAAGAAAATATTTTAGTCCTCAGATAACTACAGTTACTCATTGGATGTAGGTGCTTTGAACCACACACAACTTCTCAAATCTTGGAATCAGCCTGGGTTGCTCTATTGCATGATGACTTTTCTCAAGACTGAGAGTATGATATCAGCTGTGCTCGTCTACGTGGAGGGGAACAAGCAGGAAGAAGAAAAACTGTACATCTGAGAGGCAGGTGGTGGAGGCCATGGGCACAGCACTTCCATTGTGTTGGAACAGTCGAGGTGATTCTCTGAGCCTTTCTGCTGTCTGCAAGAAGGCTGCTACGCTCAAATACAGGAAAAGTGCACACAAAACAGGAAGCCAAGAAAGAGAAGGTGGTGCCAGCTTCAGCTGATCCCTTTGGTAAGAAGGCGGAAGCTGTTGAAGAGTTTGTGCTTCACTCCAGAAGGTCCTGTTGTACTCAAAGGCCAGACTTGGTGTTGTATGTCTAGCACTGGCTGCAAAGAGGGAGGCCCGCATTTAACTGCATGCACAGAACTCCAAGTCAGGGTCTGGGAGTAAGAAAGGAAGCAGTGGATGTTGGGTAAACAATGTCAGCTACAGAGTCACATTTATTCATGCAAAGATTAATAGGATGAGACTTAATTCCTGCTCTCAATTATTTTAAGTCTAGCTTGGAGACAGATATGACCTTCTCTGAAAAGCATCTACTGTGCAATAGGACAAGAAAGCAGATATTGTTGTTGTTTGCCTCAGAGAGCCAGAGAAAGTTGTAGGAAGGACATGATCACATTTTTTAAAAGGCATTTGGGCAGAGGAACAGAAAACATGGAGATCCAGGGGAGGATGTGAAGGACAAGGGGTCACACAGTTGAAGCAGCTCGTGACCAACCAAGTGTGTGGAGTACAGGCTGGAGAGTAATAGAATGGAGACAACAACAAATGGAACAGAAGATGTCATGAATGTGGCTGGGGCTCCATGTGTCCACCAGTTCTGGGGAGAAACATGGGAAGGGCAGTGGATAACTCCAATTTTTTTTTCTTTTTCCTGAAGCCCTGCACCTCTCCCTTTGGAAAATGCTCTTTTCTACTCTCCAAGACTGCCAGTCACACAGCCTAAGTTGCCGTCTTTTGAGTGTGGGCTCCTGACCTAAGCAGAACCAAGCAAAGTCTCTCCCAGGTATTGATATGGATGCTGAACAAAGACTGTCTTTGGGGCTACATGAACCCCAGTAGTTATGCTTTCCTCCTTTGTAGAAAAAGGATTTGGAAACTGGGAAGAAGGTGAGGGACTGATTAAATACTGCTAACACTCTGAATTCAGTTTATCCAAACCCGTCTTCTTCCCACAAGTTGTTTGAGCTGGTAACTTCTGCAATTTTAGTTAAGAGAATTTGAGTTTGTTTCCTATCACTTGCAGGTGGAAGGTTCTTGGCAGAGCATTCAGAACTTGGAAGTAGGAAGACTCATAAATAGCTCTCAAAACATTTCCTTCTACTTGGCTACCAGCTGAACCTTCACCTACCTGCACAGCACTGGCTGCTGGGGAGAGAAGAAAGACAACCTTTCAGCTCTCCCCACCTCAGTCTCCATGTGCAGTCTGAGCAGCACTGGGTTTTGTCCAACTGGCTTCGTGGCACCCACTTCCTGTCCTGTGAATGGCGGCTGCTTTCCCAGACTGTTATCTGACTCCACTATCAGCTGCAGACTTCTAGGAAGAAGGATGTTCCACAAGAGCAAGTGCATGTGGCCAGCGCTCATGGAAACTCTAGCAGCCACAAGCACCACGGAGCCCAGCACATTGTTCAAGATCTCTGGTATTCACAAGTCTGGCAGGAGCAGGGTAGTCAAGATAAACAGCGTTCCTGAACTGGTTATTCACATTCCCAGAGGCTGGAGGGCTGACTTTGCTCCTAAAATGCTTCTCCTCCGCAGATTTTAGACTTTACACTGTAATCTCACTAGCTGTGTGAGTTTGGGCATATTATTTTGCCCTGTAGGTCTCCATGAGGAGAAGTGTTAAAGAAGCCTGATTGCCAACGTGTATCGAGGGCTTACGGTGTACAAGGCAGGCTACAGAGTAGGTACTATGCACTATTATTGTACTAGGTACAATGCTGTTTCAGAGTCACCTTCCTCTCAGAGGAGGTAACTGTGGGGAGCTTCATAAACAGCTCCCTCTTAAACTTCAGTTGGGTTGTCATTGTTCTCAGTGGTGCCATCGGGAGCATTAACTTCCAACCAATCTATTAACGGACAAGGAAACTGTCACCCAGAAGCAGTGAATTACTCAGCACTAGAGCAAAAATCTAGAATGCCTATCCTATTCAAACTCAGGTAACATGAACAGAAGCAACAAAAATATATGGTACCTAGCAATTATTTAATTGAGAGTACATTTAGTTTTGTAAAGGCAGTTTAAACTTCTAATGAAAAGCGTAAAATGATTGGATTGAGTGGAGCAAGCCCAGGCGCTGGAACGGGCAACTTCATGTTGCAATGACAATAATGGTTGCTGTGATTATCCGTGCATGGAAAGTAGTCAGATCCCAGATGGGCTTTGTGAAGAATTTGAAAAATGTATCCTAGAATTTCAGTTAGGGAAGAAAGAGCTGCAGGCAAATAAATTGGCTTTAGGAAAAGAGGAGAAAATTGCTTTAGTAGTCAGTAAATATGATAAGTTGATAATAAGAATAAATAGTTTGGTATTAGTATTTCTGAAACAAGAAAAAGATGAAAGTTTAGATTTAGATTCATATATGACTTAGCTCAACAGTCTAAGCATCTGCTGGGGCAAGCACAGGATCTGAGTTCGATCCCCGGTATCGCATGACATCCCCAGTACTGCACGCCTTGCTGGTCCAAGAATCCCGGGTGCACTGTGTAGCCACCAAAACCAGGCATGGTGGTGCACACCTGTAATCTCAGTGCTGGGGAGGCTGAGACAGGAGGATCACTGCGAGTCTGAGCTGCATAGCAAGACCTTATATTGAATAAACAAATGATTAAAAAATAAATCAAAAAATATATAGCCACACAAAGGCCTCAGGTCTGAGGAAAAGCCAGATTGTCTAGTAAATGAGCTAGGGGAAACTGCTTCCCTATTGGAAAACTGTAAATTTCATAACAGGATCTGTACTGAAGGAGATCCTACACGAATTAAAGATGTAAGTGGAAAATAAAATATTAATTCTTAGAGAAAAATTTCTTTGTGGCCTACGGACATGAAAAGAATTTGTGAACAAATATTTGGACTTCCTTTTAACAAAAGACTTTAGGATAAATTTACTAGACACATGACAGAAAATGTAAGGGTTTTTTTTCCCAATATTTAAATGGCAAAGCCTTTACATATAGTATAAATGCTATCTTGCTAGTCAACCACAAGCACAAAGCAATATCCATAGGAGATGAATATCTTATGGATAATTTTGGAAGAAATACTAGTGTTCAATAAAGAAATGACATACTCAAAATCATTGATAGTTATCAAGGCAAATGTAAGGCAGTAAGATTTTACTTGAAATCAAATAGAATTGAAAAATTAGAATAGAAAAATTAGAAAGCTGGTTTCATTTTTATTATATCAGCAAGGCTGGCTAACAAAGTGACACGTAAGCTAATTTTTCATTGCAGTGTTATTTGTCAGAATAATACCCTAAATCATAAATTACTTTATGTATTCTAACTACAGTTTTCTTCTGACCCCTAAAAAATGCTCTAGAAGATAAGGGTTGTAGATGTAGCAATTTTCTTCTTTTTTCTTTTTTTCTTTCTTTTTTTTTTCTCCTTGGGAAGAATCTACAGGGTGTTCAGGGTCTCACTACTAGGTTAGACTCATAGTGATTCGCCTGTTTACAGCCTCCCAAGAGCTGGGATTACAGGTGCCCATGCCTAGTCTCAATGGCCATCTCAACGCGTCCTGGGGGTGGGGCTAGAATGGCAGGCCTTTTTTTAAAGGAAGATTTTACATTTATTAAATTTAGGAAAAGAAACCTGCTCTGCAGAGTGAGTTTAAGTGAAGCAAAAGTAGGGAAAGTTCTGCTGTACACTTTGAGAGCAAAATATTGTGAAAGAATGCAATAGTCTACAGTGGAGATAGTTGTACTGCCTTCTTCATAGTTTTTTTAAATTTTGGCAAAGATTAAATATGATAATTCATGTAACCTACCTAGTAGAGGAGCTAGAACATGGAGAATGGCCAATAAATATTATTCCTTTGAATAGACTCTTCAGTGTTTCTCTGTGTCCTATTAAAGTCTGAACTCCTTAGCATGGTTTTTGAAGTCTTTCTCTAACCCCTGAAAGGCCCTAGTGTACTTCATTTTTCTCAGCATTCCCCCTGCGAGTCTGAGGTCCAGTCATGCTTGTATTCTTAGAGTTTGTTTTTGGAAGGTAACAAGCAACATGTTCGTTGTAATTGAAACACAACCTCGTTTTGTCACCCAAGATTCCTTAGCACTTTGTTCAGCAGATGTCCATCGTTTCCTGCTTTCCAGTGGAAACTGGGAAAGATAACAAGAATTCTTAAGTAGTGGGAAGTCCTCCTCACTTTCCCTGGAAAATCAGTTTTGGTAATTAGAATGTGCTTAGTCCAGCAATTAAATTCCATTCAAAACGCAAGAGTTCTTTCTGTGCGTGAAGGCCTATTGTGGGCGTTGGCTCTCTCCCCTGTCACTTCCTTTCTACATCCCCACAACTTCAGCAGCAGAAAATTCACAAAGGACATTTTATTCTTTCCTTCTTGGTTCTCTCTGTCTCTGTCTCTCTTTCTGTCTCTTTGTCTCTCTCTGTCTCTGTCTGTCCGTCTGTCTCTCTCTCTGTCTCTCTCTGTCTGTCTGTCTGTCTCTGTCTCTCTCTCTCTTTTTGTCTCTTTGTCTTTCTATCTCTATCCATCTGTTGTTCTCTCTTTGTCTGTCTCTCTGCCTCTCTCTTTCTGTTTCTCTTTGTCTCTCTCTGTCTCTCTGTCTCACTCTTTCTCTTTTTTTACCTGTTCATTGGAAGAGTAATTTACTAATTTTTAAAAAATCCTTCTTAGTCAATCATTAACACAATAAATTGCCCATTGTGAAAGGTGAATTAGATAGTAAGATATCAAAAAGTGACATGATCAGTAATACTTCTCTCATAGAACTGATATTCAAGGGATGACATGATAGAAAATAAGTAAATGCGGGACTAAGATAAGCTTAATGGAAGATCTGTTTCTCTTTGTGTCTGTCTGTCTGTCTGTCTGTCTGTCTGTCTGTCTGTCTGTCTTTCTCTCTCTCTGTGGCTCTCTCTCTCTCCAATTGATTGGGCAGGAGATATGTAGTCAAAAGTGACACAGTTGGTGAAAGAGAACCCTCAGCATGCTCCAAGGTGGAGTGGCACATGGCAGAGGGCAGCAGTTCATGGCAGCAGAAAACAGCAAAACAGCAGGAGCAAAAATGGAGGAGCAGTGGCGGGCAGTTTTCATTTAACAACTGTGTAAATGGAACAGGGAGTTCCCTGGTTTTAGTAGTGACTCACCCTGATGTAGAATGTTCTAGGTGACAGGCATTGTTCTGAGCACTTTATAGGCATTAAAACAAACTACCAGAGAACAGCTCCAAGGATAGCTCCTACCACAATCATCGTTATAATCACTGTCCTACTTAAAGCAGAAGAAATTGAGGCACGTTTGCCATGCTGGTCATAGATAGTAGATCTGGGGTTTGAATCCATACATTCTGATTCCTGAGTTAGGACCGCCATGTAAATTAAAGCTGTGGAGATAGTTCAGGGGTCTAAGCGCCTGCCTAGGCAAGTGCAAGGACCTGGGTTTGATCCCTGGTACCACCTGAGCTGGCCCAACACTGAGCATTTGGAGCTGGCCATGGAAACTGGGCTTGGCAGCACATGCCTGTAATTATAGAGCTGGGGAGGCTGGAACAGGAGGATCACCATGAGTCTGAGCTGCATAGTGAGACCCTACCCCAAATACATAAAATTAAAAAATAAAATAAAATGAAGCTCAAGTTGCGTCAGTTTTGAGGCAGAGGGGAAGACGGCGTTAATAGAACTTAGCCTGAAACCACATCCATGCATATGTCCTGTGCTAAGCGGGCCATACAGCACTCTGTGGAGTCCAGGCTTTTCAGTGCTCAGCTATGTCACTTCTTAGAGGGGGCCAAGTTGCAGGTCATGTCCTTTTCCTCACAGAAAGACTCTTTAAGACCAGATCTTGCTGAATCCTGGCAGAAACAACGGCAGAAATTGTCTGTTATTTCAATTCACCATTTTGTAATAGAGAAAGAACTGGAGACAAGTACAGGACAGTCTTTCTCCAGGAGAGAAGACAAGAATGTAGGGAAACCGAGTCACCATAACTGGCACTGGGAACTGAGAAGACAGGAATGTGAAATGCCATCTGGTCGTAAAGTTAAGAAGCAGTTGAGTCAGGCCTTCAGGGACTTGAGTTGGGCTATTATTAGCAAGAGGGTAGGCTTCCGCTAGTTAGAGCCTCTTTGTCAAAGAGGAAGACAAAGAATCTAGAGACAGGAGTGCTCGCTCCTGACCTGGAGCTACTCCGGCCTATGGATAGAACCACTTTCTTCTAGCACAGTTCACTCCATCCTTGCCAAGTAGAAATATTTCCATTCCTTTGAATCCAAGCACCCAGAAGAAATGATAATTATGCAATAACAGCCATATCCGAAGGATACATATGGATTGGCAGCCCTCCTTCCCTGTTTTACATCCAAGATCGTATTGATTTCTCCAAATAATTCTATGAAGACAAAGCTCGTTGTTACATCCATGCCACAGAAGAGGAGGCTGAGTCTGAAAGGTGTTCAGTAGCTGAAGGTGTCACACTTTGTAATAAATCCAAGCTCTCTGCTTTAGAGTTCAGCTGCTACTGTGCATCTTGGGTCCCCGATGTAAAATTAGCTAGTGTCAGGTGTGGTGGCCCATGCCCACAATCCCAGCACTCTGCGAGGCTGAGATAGGAGAATCGCAAGTTTGAACCCATCCTGGGCAACCTTATGACTTAGTAAAACTCTGTTTCAAAAATTAAAAGTTACAGAAAAAGGGCTTAGGGATGTAGTTCAGTGTGAGGGTCTGAGTTCCATCCCCAGCATGCCCCAGCAAAAAAGCTAATTTATCAATTCTCCTGCACCTCACAGGAGAATGCCGGGGAGACAGATGGAGGTTAAAATTCCCACTCTGACTCTCTTGTGGACACAGAATAGGGATAGTCTCTAAAAGCTCCACAATGATCTTTTCCTGTTTTAGGGACATCTATTTACTCTGAGATTTCAAAAAGAAATGTGTGTTGATTGGAAAGGAAACACTTATCAAGGAGAATCTTTTAATATTTTATAATGGAGAAAGAATTGGAAATTCATAGTAGTATTCAAAGGAAAACAGAATGTTTTCCCAGGAAAGAAGAAAAGAAGGTTCTAGACTTGAATGAAGGGAAACTTAGTCACAGTGACTGGCATGACATCAATGGCCCAGGCAGGTGAGAAAAGTTTTCCATGTCTCTTTCTCTTATAGCTATTGTCTCAGACATCCTGAAGCCTTTGGGGTATGCGCATCAAATTATTGAAATTAAGAGCAACTTCTTGTTGGCAAGACCAAGGAATCTCAGCTCCAATCTGACCCCCGAAGCTTAATCCTGCTTTAGCTTTTGAAGATGAATAAAAAATTAAAGGCGTAGGTGTTTAAGCTCCTGAGGGTGTCTTCTTCCCACGTCAGGCAATAATGATC